CAGATACGGGCCAGCAGCTTTGGGTAATGTTCACATAAACCATCAGATTGGGGGGAAAAATGTCAGTGATTTTGACCATGGCATGATTGTTGGAGCCAGATGGGCAGGTTTGAGTATTTCTATAACTGCTGATCTCACGGGATTTTCACAAACAGTCTCTAGAGTTTATTCAGAATGGTGCAGTAAAGATAAAACATCCAGTGAGCAGCAGTGCTACGAACAGAAACACTTTGTTCATGAGAGAGGTCAAAAGTGAATGGCAAGACTGGTTTGAGCTGACAGTCTATAGTAACTCAGATAGCCGCTCTGTACAATTGTGGTGAACAGAAAAGTATCTCAGAATGCACAACACTTCAATCTTTGAGGTAGATGGGCTATAACAGCAGAAGACCACCTCGGGTTCCACTGTTTTTTTTCCAAGAACAGAAAGCTGATGCTGCAGTGGGCACAGGCTCACCAAAACTGTACAGTTGAAGACTGGAAAAATGTAGCCTGGTCTGATGAATCTCGATTTCTGCTGAGGCACACAGATGGTAGGGTCAGAATTTGGCACCAACAGCATGAATCCATGGACCCAACCTGCCTTATGTCAACAGTGCAGGCTAGTGGAGGTGGTGTAATGGTGTGGGGAATGTTTTCTTGGCACACTTTGGGCCCGTTAATACTAATCAATCATCGCTTGAATGCCACAGCCTATCTAAGTATTATTGCTGACCATGGGCATCCCTTCATGGCCACAATTTACTCATTTTATAATGTCTATTTCCAGCATGATAATACACCATGTCGTCCCAAATTGGATCCCAAAAGATCTGAATCCAGTAGAACACCTTTGGGATGTGGCAGAACGGGAGATTCGTAGCATGAAAGTGCACCTAAAAATCTGCAGGAATTGTGTGATGTAATCATGTCAACATTAACCTGAATCTCAAATGAATATTTCCAACATCTTGTGGAATTGAGGCCGTTTTGAGATCAAAGGAAGGCCCAACCCAATATTAGTATACTGTTCCTGATAAAGTGTTCAGTGAGTGTAGATTCTACCATGTCTCCTTGTGGAATGGTGTTAAATTCTTTGGTACCAGTGTAGGTTTTTAAGTCATTTATATACACACTTCTAAAGGTGCTCCTAAAGACCTCAACAGCAGTGATGCCTGGTTTGATGCAGAGGAAGAACTTGGATGTCCTAGTCAGAGTTGTAAAGAAGACAAACAAACAGGGCAGAGAGATCAAGGGGACTTGGAGAAGGAACAAAAAGGTTGTAGTTGTTTAAACAATTGATATGAAACTTTTTTTTTTTTCCCCTTTAAGTTTGAAAGCAACCCTAATATACTTCATTTGCATTTTGTTGCAGTGGATGCAAACAGAAAGAAAGATCAGTGTTTCTTGCTTTGTGTCTCAAACTTGCCAAACAGTATTACTGAGGTGAGGATGATTGCTTAAATTACTTCAATTTGCCATGTCATGTATGACACCATGTGTGAGTGTAAGTCACAAGGATGATCTCCAGATGGCAGCAAAACTCACTAAATTATTTACTGATTGTAGCGTGAGCTGCTGCTTTGGTTTGCGAAGTACCATACCAATCAAGTGTCCCTTTCCAATTTTAGTAACACCAGGTAAGGCTTTGTAACGTTTTAAATATATATCAACATAATGGTGGTTATATTCTAACTGTATATAAGGGAATATTCATTGGAAAAAAAAGCAACACATGATTGGCATTTGTTGGACATTTAATCTTGGTCAGGTTTATGTGTCTTCCATGGTTGGTACCACAGGGTTGCAATAGTGAGTGTGAGAAACCCCAAGGATGCTGAGGCTGCAGTACGAGAGATGAATGGCCGATCCATTCAAGGCCACACTCTTCATGTGGAACACATCCACAAGTCTCCCGCAGATGGTCAGGCCTCCATCAAAAAGTCCTGCGTTCAGCTTTCCCCAGCTGCCCATAAAGCAGGAGAAGGGCCAATCACACAATGCTCAAATAATAACTTTCATGGCTCCAGAGTGAGTATAACCCACTAGACACTTTCAAAGATGAGAGAAAGCATTACCAGAATGCATGCATTTGAGTTTACAATTCATCCCTACCACTTGTCTTTAAATTACTTTAGTCCCCTTGAGAAGTTAACTCTGTTTTCTTTCTCTTCTTTTTTTTCCTAAGCCACTCCGCTGCAGTCTGGATAAGCTTACCAACATATGCACTACACCCACTGCATCAGGTACCTGTGTACCACAGCACTACGGAACCATGGGTAGCTTTGACACGATCATGGCCCAGTTAACAGAGCGCCACCCAAAAATGGGCAGACAGCGGATCGTCAGTGCTTTGCTGGAGCTGCGGGCAAAGCATCATGGTGTCCTCAGTGGCCTGCCCCTCAGAGATATAGTGGATATGACCTCTGAACTTCTCACTCACTCAACCACAGACTAAGCAAGACAAAGGTCACATTCTTTATTGGTGTATGTTTGAGTTTTTGTGTTATTTGCGTTGGTTTGGTATTTTTAAGCATTGAATAGGTATTTTGGTTCTTTTAGGCATTTAATAGCCTTGTTATGATTTTAATTATATGTTTGGCTTTTTAATTTGTGGATTTTCAGAAAGTGTTGTTACATGGTAGAGTTTCTATTTTGAGAAAAGGTATATTAAGAAAAATGTTAATTGTTACTTTTTATAGTAGGTTTACCCAGTTAGAACTCAGTTAGAAAATAGTCTGTTCAAAACTGTTCATTATACAGTGGAGTGTCAGTTTATTAGGAACAGCTTCCACTTGCACTAATTGGCCATTTCAACAGGTAGACCTACCATACATGTCTGCTGACTGGAATTTGTTTCTGTTCAGTTTGTCAACCGCTGCAAGTCATTGATTGACAGGATAGAGGGGGACAAAATATACAGATAACTTGTGATTGGCTACACTCAGTATTTACACAAGGTTGTCTTGTAGGTGTATCTACAAAAAAGGTAATAAATCAAGGAATGCATATCTAATTAACTGGCAGACCACTGTGTTTAGTTTTCAGTACTATGTATATAGTTGGCCAGAAAGGTGAATCATATGAAAAGCAAAACCAATTTCCTTATGTTCCATTATCAATAAAAACATTCTGTGCCTGAAATGTAACATGGGTATCTGTTGATGTATCTGATTATTTCTGAACCGTTTCAGTTCTGCTTATCTATTTTAACTGATTCTCATTGCATTACTACACTTTTTGATCCAATACCAAGTAATACCAACACAAATCATGGTGAAAAAGGGAAAACCTGCCATTTCTATGGTGAGAATTTGCAAACTTGGATAATGAAGAATATGTGATTTGTATGTGTGTTGGAATGGAACACTTCTTTAGGAACACAATATTATTTCTGGGTAGGTCCTCCCTTTGCTCTCAGAACAGCTTCATGGCGGTTCATCTCATAGATTCCACGAGATGTTGGAAACATTCCTTTGAGATTCTGGTCCATGTTGACATGATTGCATCACACAATCCTGCAGATTTTTCAGGTGCACTTTCATCCTGCGAATCTCCCGTTCTGCCACACCCCAAAGGTGTTCTACTGGATTCAGATCTGGTGACTGGGAAGGCTACTGAAGAACACTGAACTCATTGTCATGTTCATGAAACCAGTTTGAGATGAATTTTGCTTTGTGACATGGTGCATTATCATGCTGAAAGTAGCTATTAGAAGATGGGTAAATTGTGGCCATGAAGGGATTCGCATGGTCAGGAGCAATACTTAAATAGGCTGTGGCATTCAAGCGATGATTGATTAGTATTAACAGGCCCAGAGTGTGCCAGGAAAATATTCCCCACACCATTACACCACCTCCACCAGCCTGGACTGTTGACACAAGGCAGGTTGGGTCCACATTCTGACCCTACCATCTGTGTGCCTCAGCAGAAATCGAGTTTCATCAGACCAGGCTACATTTTTGCTGTCTTCAACTGTCCAGTTTTGGTGAGCCTGTGCCCACTGCAACCTCAGCTTTCTGTTCTTAGCTGACAGAAGTGGAATCCGACATGGTCTTCTGCTGTTGTAGCCCATCCACCTCAAGGTTCGACGTGTTGTGCATTCTGAGATACTTTCCTGCTCACCATAATTGTATAGTGTGGTTATCTGAGTTACTGTACCCTTTCTGTCAGCTCGAACCAGTTTGGCCATTCACTGTTGATCTCTCAACAACAAGGCATTTTTGTCTGCAGAACTGCCGCTCACTGGATGGTTTTTCTTTATTGCACCATTCTGAGTAAACTCTAGAGACTGTTCTGTGTGAAAATCCCAGGAGATCAGCAGTTATAGAAATACTCAAACCAGCCTGTCTGGCACCAGCAATCATGCTACGGTCAAAATAGCGGAGATCACTTTTTTCCCCCATTCTGATAGGTGATGTGAACGTTACCTGAAGCTGCTGGCCTGTATCTGCATGATTTTATGCATTGCACTGCTGTCACATGATTGGCTGATTAGATAATTGTAGTAGGTGTACAGGTAATGTACAGGTAATAAAGTGCTCAGTGAGTGTATCTCCTGTTTAGTTACAGAAATAAGCCATATACTATATAACTTACAGTTAAGGTTGCCAACTTGGTGTGACCAAATTCCAGGCGATTTTTAACTGCATTGTTAATGTATAAATAATTCATATTCAGTAGCTTGGTCAAGGTTGCAGTGGATCCAGAGCCTATCCTGGTAACACTAGACTTGATTTGGGAATACACCCTGGATGGGATGCCAGTCCATCACAGGGCACTTGGGGGCAATTTACAGTAGCCAGTCCATCTACAGGCATGTTTTGAGAGATAGGAGGAAGCCAAAGCAAATGTACAAAATTCAGCACAGACAGGGCACCCTGGAACTGTACCCACTTCACCCATGTGCAGCACTAAAATGTATATTGTTTTAAACAGCCTATTAAAATGCATCTGGCAACAATAGCTGGAATTAAATTTTTATTCTTTTTTTATTCTTATTACTTTGTATATTAGTCTGGTCCCTGGAGGACTAGTGGTTAGGCCTCTGCGCTCTCACCGCCATGGCCTAGGTTTGACTCCCAGCCAGGGAACCAACCCAAGCCACTAGGGTTTGCACCAGTGCACTCCCAGCGCCGGTCCCAAGCCCGGATAAAATTGGGGAGGGTTGCCTCAGGAAGGGCATCCGGAGTAAAAACTTTGCCAAATCAAATATGCAGACCAATGATCTGCTGTGGCCACCCCTAACGGGAGCAGCCAAAAGAAGAACAACAACTTTGTATATTAATCCCTTTAAGCTGCATTATTATTATTACTATTATTATTATTATTATTATTATTATTAATCCCATTTAGTAGCCAGGTACATTTAGCAGCTCACAATGCAGAGTTTCCCAGCTGCCATTTCAAAGTGCATTGGAATGTAGAAAGGTTGAGAGAGGTAGAGAGAAGAAAGAAACAAGACAAAGAAGAGGAGGAAGAGAAAAGTGCAGGGTAATGCATATTAGAGTGTTTTAGAGGAAAAAAGGCAGAGATGCTAAATGGAAGTGAGTGTTGTCATTTAAGTGTTCCTTACCAGGCATGGAGACTTAATATGGGTCAACTGCTGGTACAGTCGTCCCTGGAAACTGCACCATCTGATGAATATAAATCCAACAGTAATACGGTGTGGTGTAGTGTGGGAATTAACAGGAAAATACTTATACACTTGTTATACCTGGCCAGATGGGATGCAATGAGTGGCCTTGCTGCTCCTGGTTGGTACAGGGTGTGGCAGGGTGTAGCATGTCACCAGCCTCCACCCATGGGCCAGAGTTGGAAAAACTGTCCCAGCTAGGATTATATGGCTGTGGCAGGAGGGGAAGAAGCAAACAGGGTTTGGTCAGTTCCCTTTACAAAACTAAATAATCTTATTTTATTCTTGGCATTTCCGTTTAGGTTATTGAGTGTAAATTCAATATTTACATAAAAACATAATTTCTGGAGTCAAACAGTTGGGAGGCAGGCATACGAGTTACTAGAGAATATTTATATTGCATTCAGAAGAGGAAATGCTAACTTTTGAATTGATATGGGTTTTCACTATTAATATCTTAGCTACACTATTTGACCATTTTTGTCACTTGTGATAATACACCAAGTGGCTTGTTGCTATACATTGCATTTAATGTCCTAAGGGTATGCCTTTTTGCACTCAACTGCATTTTTGGAAGTGTACATACTACTTACTTACTTACTTATTTATCAAATTGACTTTACATCAAAATTAAACTGAAAACAAACCAACAAAAAACTATTATTGTATTATTTCCCACTATTTTTAGAATAATAATGGAGACATTAAAACTATGAAAGTATATATTAACCAAGGAAAAAGTTAAACAAATCAAAACTATTTTTCTTCTTAACAATATTCTTAATAAATCTTTGGACAGTCTTGGTATCTTCACTTCATGACAGAGCTTCACCCAGGAGGCCTTTGTTAAAGTTCCCCCAAAAGGAAGTTAAAATGAAAGGGTACTGTTTCCATATTGTTAGCAGGCAGGAGAGCTACCCCAACTCCCAAATCCCAATTTAACCCCTTGCTCTTTTTAGTGGGTGATTTTCACTGAGGATTTTCTGACCAGAAGAGGGAGACATCATAATGATACATTTTTTTCAGCTGTTTCTTTACATATGAATGTGATGTGTAATTTTGTGACTCAAATAACTAGATTACATTATTTCTACAGAGTTCAGATGTGTGTATTTGAAGCATTTATATACAGTATACACAAATCGTCTACAGTCTGTAATTGTATATATACAAAATACTCCTTAACATATACCCTGTAAAGTATATAAAATTGCCCACAAGACCAGCACTCATCATCATAAATCAGCTTGAAACATGCATGTGGAAATTTTGGGGTCATAAACTATACGGCCAAAAGTAAGTCGACACCTGGCCATGACACCCATATGTGAGGCTCCTGATATGTGAGAACTGTTGCCACAAAGTTCTAAGCACTCAGTTGCCTTTGTATGCTGTAGCATTAAGATTTCCCTTCACTGGAACTAAGGGGCCCAACCTGTTTCAGCATGACAACGCCCCTGTGCACAAAACAAGGTCCATAAAGACACGGTTTGCCAAGGTTGATGTGGAGGAACTCAAGTGGTCCGAGCCTTGACCTTAACCCCACTGAACACCTTTGGGATGAACTGGAATGCCGACTACTCACCAGACCTTCTCTACTTGACATCAGTGCCTGATCTCACTAATGTGCTTGTGGCTGAATGAGCACAAATCCCAACAGCCACACTCCAAAATCTGGTGTAAAGCCTTCCCAAAAGAGTGGAGGTTATTGTAACAGAAAAAGGAGGAACAGCTATGTGCCGATGCTCATGGTTTTGGAATAGGCACATATGGATGTGATGATCAGGGGTCCACATTCTTTTGGCCCTGTAGTATATTCTGTTTTGTGAAGAGTTAACTGTCATTGTGAAGCTAAATTTTAGGTTGTGTGTATATTTTCTCTAATAATCAGTTGCTTATTGCAATACAACTAAAATTGCATTTTTAATGGTTGGGTGGTTCAGTTAGGATTCATTAGCTTTTGTGGTCTCTCATGTGGACTGTAAACTATGAGTAAAAGGTTGTGAAATAATCTAAAACCCTCAAGAGGATTTCTTGATGTCAATTGAAGATAAGTTGTCTGTTGTTTTTGTGTTACAGCAATCAGAAATACAGGCTGGCTAAAGGAACTTGAAGCTTTTAAGTCATACTGCAGCTCAAACATCAACACACTTATCATAAATTTAGCAAAACTTAAATATTTATTCACAGGTTTTGATTCATTTGGGGCCCTCTTTTTGCCCAGGCCCCCCAGCTTTTTAAAACTGATACAGTGACATAGCAGCAGCATATAAAATCACCAAAAAATAATTTCAACAAACAAACAGAAAGCTGGGTGTGTTTGAATTCTTCTTGAATACTGTGCTCTGTATTGTACAGTTGTGTATCGTGCTTTCCGCTACTGAGTGTTTGTGGAGTTTTGCACTGGCTGTCACAGTTTAATTTCCATTTCAGCAGTGCAGTGAGTGTGTCAGTCCCCATTCTCTTACTTTGTTTTTGATTTTAATGTCGAACATACTTAACACCGTGATCTGTACATCACGCCTACACACTTTACAAAATGCATAGTGTTCCCCTAGAATTTACTTCTCCATATGGCCAAACTGAACTCTCATTTTAGCAGGAAATTTTGTCACGTATCTGGGCTGTTTAGCCGCCGATTGCTCATTAGCATCCAATGTTGGAGATAGTCTGAGGACAAAATGAGCTTTAACTCAAGGAGCAGAAGAGAGAAGATCATTAACACATGCTGAAGAAACTCCCAATGGGAGGAACATAACTCCAAATGGGAGGGACATAACACCAAATGGGAGGCACAAACTCCAAATGGGAGGAACATAACTTCAAATGGGAGGGACAAACTCCAAATGGGAGGAACATAACTTCAAATGGGAGGGACAAACTCCAAATGGGAGGAACATAACTTCAAATAGGAGGGGCAGAACTCCAAATGGGATAGATATAACTAGTGCTGTTGGTTGTTAAGAAGTCTGGTGGGTTTTTTTTATTTATTTATTTTTTTATTTTGTGATGTTCCTGTCTCATTTTTGTAGAACAGAATTACCTGATGATAAAATAAAAAAATGTTTTTGATCATGTGTGCATACAATACATGGAGTAAACTCACAGATCCCTATGTGTATTTGATTTTTTAAAATAATCTAAAATATGTGTAGTTAAACGGGTTAGATCCGGGTTTGATCCACATCATAGCCTAATGTATTTCATTCATCTTAAAATGTAAAGTGCCTAAAACTCTAGAGAATATGCGTATGTGTGAAAATTGAAATAAACTCTTAATCTACCAGTGTTTGTGCTCTGATAGGTGAACGTTCACACAGCTGAACAGACAGATTTGCTCATTTTCAGAAATGTAATCTGTCAGACTGGGTCTGAGCTCCATGACTTTTTGGTCAGTATATATCAGTGACACAAATATCTGCTTCTATTCTCATGTGTTTATCAGAAAGGGAAAACAGACTTCATGTTAGCCTATTTAATCATTTAGCCTCAGAAAACAAATTTGAATAATTTATAATTCAGATAATAACTCAGATGATAACACACTTCTTTTAGTTTGAGAAATGGCTTCATTGTGATACCCTGCTCTTACCCAGAACGCAGGAAATTGTTGTCCTCTGCAGGGCCAGTTTCTGCCAGAAAGACATGTTGGTAGCAGGGATGGACCCACAAGCCAAGGGCCCCCTAAAAAATGCTAATTATATATATTTTTAATTATTAATGCTTAATAATGTATGCTGAAATTTTAAATATCGATGTTAAAACACTGAAATGAGGGCCCCTTTTCCACCCCTTCTTGGTAGCCTCCCTAATCAATGTTTTACTTGTCCTGTCACTTTTCACTTAGTTTTCTTAATTAACAACTCTTTATCACTTCAGTTTAGTTGGTTGCAAATTCACATAGAGATCGAAAAGATCTGGCACTTACTCTGGGTTTTAAAATCAGAAAAAAATCACTGCAATTTGAAGTGTAGATGTTTTATATTTGCTGTATATAAATTATTGTTTAGCTTAAAAGGTCAACGTTTCACAGCCTTGACTGGTATAATTCAGGCCATGAGTTTTCCATAGTATTTCTGGTATTTTATTATTCGGCACAGTAAAATCTGTGAGAACTAATCGCTAACCTGAGTTATCTAAGCTAAAACCACAAAAATACGACAAAATTCAATGTTTGCAATGATATGCAAACATGATATTTATCAAGAAAAGTTTTATTCTTTATATATGTTAATGTGAGCGAGATATTCAGTTTAGGTCAGTTTACGACAGTATGGCTGTAAAGCGCTGGAGCAGAGCCTATTTGCATATACATTCGAATTAGACCAATAAGAAAGCGTTTAACAGAATACCCTCCCATTTGGGAGGAGCTAAATAGGAAACTGTCGAATGCGCCACGATTTTGTGAAATAAAAGTTTTTCGTGGTATGCTTTAAGTGTAAAAAAAAACCTGTGAGG